AAAATGGTACATTTAAAGGGAAAAACATTCCCAGATTTTCGATCCACCCTGGTGGCGTTTGAACCCATGACCTTTGGATTAGAATTCCAACCAGTGGCGTTGAGAGAACTGAAATTAATGTGGGCAAGATCCATTTTGCGAGTCCTTCTGGTGGCGTAAAAAAAGGGTTTATAAAATGAAACAATTTTTATTCATGAAGAAATAAACCAAATTTTTTACTCATTTATTTGACACATTAAACAATGAAGAAAGAGAAAAAATTAAAGAAACAGAAATTTTTACTTTTAGTTTTGTGGAAAACCTTAATGATTGGTTCATAATTTCTCTTAGATGTTATAGCTGCTTCAATAGATATAACTGACAAAGCTGAAAGTCTTCCTGACCCAATGTATTTCTTGCAGAATTTTTTTTATCAGTTTTGATTTTTAAAAGCTCCTCTCAGCAGAAGCGTTACTTACAGATATTGCTAACAAAATTTGGAAGACAACGTAAATATTTGGGAAAAATTCTTTCAAAATGTTCTTTATAACATATTGGAGCAAATGTTTCCCTACCGTTAAGGGCTTGGGTAAATTTGGGATCGCATATTTTGTTATTCTTCACATAACTGTCGTAAGGTTGGAAGTCATTGCTCTCACCTACTTGTAGGACTGTGTGTAAAACTTGAGTTTTTCAGTATTTGCTCTTTTGGAATATTTTAAACTTGCTTAAGTCAGAGAAAACCAAAATTTTCCAAACGATTTAAAGACAAATCTTGACCCCATATTGCTTATCACAGAATCAATTTTTTTAAAGTCTGTTTCATGCATATGACAGACTCTATAGGTTGATCGCCGTCTTCATAATCAAACATTCTTTTCTTTTTAGTTACCCTTTTATTTTTAAAATCTTTTGGCAAATCATAACTGCTTTTCTCAATAAACTTACGAACGTCTGACAAACATTTTCCGAATCCAGTTAACCTATACTCTTTGATCGCAAATGTTCAAGAGAGTAATGCATAAATGGGCTTGTACAATACCTTAATTTTCTTATGGTATTGACTCGCGTTAATAACTCATACCATACATGTAATGATACGATCAATTCCGAACAGAACATTTCATTTAAAATGGAATCGCAATCGCTGAGTATGTCGGATCGTTCCGTTTGGGTTTTTAAAATTTTCTATGCATTCAACAGCATCATCAAATTGTAATAACGCAGCCATCACCGCCTCGATATTTCTTTCCCACCTTGTGTCTGATAAATGTTTAATAGTAAGCTTTAACTTATCTTTGATAATTTTCCAGCGTTTGCAAGAACTTGAAAAATAGCACCAGAAAAATCTACTGAATCTAACCAAATAATAGTTTTGTTGCCAGTGATGAATTAGCAGCGTCTACCAATAACCGATTCCAGCTATGACAACCGCAAGGTGGGAAAAATGCCCTGGGATTTATATTTAATGTATAACTCCACTATTTATGCCTACCATATTTGCACCATTGTCGTATCCTTTTCTATGACAGTTCTGAATACCTAAACCATTTTTTTTCTAGCTCTCCCTGTATTGCATTGGTCAAATAAACTATCTGGCCGAAAGTATCCGGACACCTCTTAAAAAAGTTTATTCTAGCGAGTTACGCAATTTTATACCTAATTGAAAGCTATAAAAGTGTTGGTAGTGGTTTGTCAGATTGTATTTATGCGTTTGTGAGGCAATGAGTAAGTCAAAGTAGCTTAGTGAGTTTGATCGTGTCAGAAAAGTGGGATGCCACCTTTGTGGGAAATCAGTTCGTGAGATTGCGGACATTCTACAGAAGCCTAAATCTACTGTGAGTGATGTAATTGTGAAGTGTAAACTTCGAGACAGTGAAACGGCAGAAAAACGAACCAGTATGCCGAAAATATTTGGTGAACGCAGCCGCAGAACTCTGAAAAGGGTACTGAAACAAAATTCGCAAGTCCTCGTTGGTGGAAATTCCTCAGGAGTTCCAAAGTTCATCAGGAATTAGTGTTAGCAGCAGGACTGTCCATCGAGTGTTAAAAAACTTGAGATTCCATGGTCGTGCAGCCGCTCAAAAGCCAAACATCACTCCACAGACTGCGAAGCATCGATTGCAATGGTGTAGAGCTCAACGTCATTGGACTGTGATCATGTGGAAAACTGTTCTTTGGAGTGATGAATCTCGCTTTACAGTCTGGCAGTCGGATGGACGCGTCTGGGTTTGGCGGATGCCCGGCGAACGTTTTTTTAGTGACTGCATTGTGTCGACTGTTAAGTTTGGTGGTGGAAGCATAATGGTGGTGGTGGGGAGGTTTCTCGTGGTTTGGCCTGGGTCCGTTAGTTCCTGTGATTGGAAGCATGAACTCTGAAAAGTATGTGGACATTCTGGACAATGCTACACTCCGAACTCTATGGCAATATTTCGAGGAAAGCCCATTTCTCTTCCAGCAGGATAACTGCTCAATTCACACATAGAGGCTTGCACAGACGTGGTTTGACGAAATGGGTGTTCCAAAACTGGACTGGCCTTCTCAGAGCCCCAATATAAATCCCATAGACTACCTTTGGGACGAATTAGAGCGCAGATTACGTAGCCAGTCAAATTGACCTTCCTCATTGCAAGCACTCACTTCAGCTGTGATGGACGCCTGGAAGGCAATTCCTATGGTCACCTATCAAAAATTGGTGGAAAGTCTTCCCAAACGTGTGCAGGTTGTCAACCATGCAAAAGGGGGACCAACATCATATTAATATGTGCGTCAGGACGCTCTAAGTCCATACCACTGGTTGTCCGGATACTTTTGGCCAGATAGTGTATTCTTCAGTCGTTTCAGTGACAGCAAAAAATCTGATCAATTTTCTCCTATACTTCCAGCTGATGTACTACAATATCTTAAGATGACCGCCATTTGTTAAATTATACTACAGCCTCTAGTGCAGTCGAGTAAGAAAAGAATAATATATATTGCCTCTTTTTTCTCACACCGATCTCTTCTCTGATAAATGTGTTTGACATGATTGTGATCAATTCATTTTGAATATCGTGGCTTAGATAATGATGTGCAAGTTGTTTATTATTATTATTATTTATGTGTTCCTGTAACGTAGGATCCTATTTAGATATCAATTTAAATAAGTCTATGTGATGTTTCCAGAATTCTTAGTGTCTTTGTCTGTTTTGAGAGATTCTCTGTGATCTCTAAACGCTAGTTTATGATAGGCTAACAAATTTATGATATCAACTAATCTCTCAAACAAATTGCACCAATGTTTTTCAAATTCAATTATTCGCCTTTCGTTTTTTTGGTCTAATGTTTTTCCATGTTTTATTCCCTTCTCTAATGTAATTAATTGGATTGGAATAGGCCATATGTTCTTTAGTATTCTCATGTTCTCATGTCCGTGTAAAATACCACTTAAGAGTGTTTCCAATCCCAGCACCCTTCCTGTACCATTTGAGTTTGTAAATTACCAAATAGTATGCATAGAAAACAGAAAACTTTATTTTTAGTACTTGAATAAACCAACCAACGACAACGTTGAGTTTCACCGTTATTTAGTTTTCTTGAGAAATGAAAATTGAAAAAGTGTCTATGATCATCATCTTTAGGATTATATTCATCAGTATTATTTAACTGCTATGTGGCACCGCTTTGAATTACATCATGACAGGTGAGCCTCTGTTATGGGAAACGTACACAATCCCGGGTCAAAATTGGAAAATGCTTGTTTCACTACGTCACTGGAATCTCTGCTCACAGGCGAAGAAATAATCTCAATCTCTTCTTCTTGTTTATGACTTATGTGACTCAACGTGAGCACAGAAATCACAACTTCAGATTATGATTGGTAAACTTTTGGTCCTATTTCTGTTCCAATTTTCGTCGTTCGGTATCAATAGTCTGTAAATCTGGAGAAACTTCGAAATTCAACGGATTCAACTCGGATACGGATAAATGGTGTTGAGAAGTTGAAAGAACCAATTAATTTGATTCTGTACTACCAAATTCAGTCTGACCGAGATGTTTCATTACACCTGAACTTAAACCTGGTTGGATACAACTCTTTCCTTTTTTCTTTTTGCTGCACCAGATTCCCATTTTCTCCCTTAATCTCTATCTCTCTTAGTGCCTAAGCCTGACATGGTTGATAAATTATGAAAAATGCCCAGAACCACTATTATTTATTCTCACATCAAACACTTTTAAAATTTATAATATGATATAGAAACATGAAGCGAGACTGCGTCTGCATGCGATGCTTTAATTGGCTTTCTTATGATGGGAAGTCCCGAGCTGTGCCCCATCTCTGACCGGAGACTCACCGCACGATAGCAGCTTAACTCTAGCTAATGTTGACATAATGAATCTGAACGCATGAGAGGAAATGACAAAGTGGAGAAATTTTTAAAATAAATGAAAATGGAAAAAAGTATTTTCTCGAATTGTTTGTTCATATGCTTTTCATGCACCGATATATAGAATATCTTTTCCAAAAAAGTCAATGTATCCATTTTTCGGTATCTTTTAGTGAAAAAGAGATAGAGCTGAGAATTTTCTAATTTAAAAAAAAGTCCTGTGGCATGCATTTTTGGATTTTCCTTAGTTTTCGTTTACTTTATTTCAGTTTTGAGACAGGAGGCCCTATGCAGCGCGAGGCCGTGGGCAGTGGCCCTCACCGCACACGCCTTACGCCGCCTCTGAGTCCAACGCGCTATTCACTGCGCTACAGGGACACAGCGTTCGAGTGCAGTCAGTACAGAAAGTGAGCAATATATCTTCATTGTTTTATAAAATGGTACATTTAAGAGGAAAAATATTCCCAGATATTCGATCATCCCTGGTGGGATTTAAACCCACGACCTTTGGATTAAAAGTCCAACGCGCTATCCACTGCGCTACAGGGACACAGCGTTCGAGTGCAGTCAGTACAGAAAGTGAGCAAGCAATTAATCTTCATTTTTTGAATAAAATGGTACATTTAAAAGGAAAAACATTCCCAGATATTAGATCATCACTGGTGGGTTTTGAACCCACGACCTTTGGATTAGAAGTCCAACGCACTCTCCACTACGCTACAGGGACGCAGCGTTAGAGTGCAGTCAGTACAGAAAGTGAGCATTATATCTTCATTGTTTGAATAAAATGGTGCATTTAAACGGAAAAACATTCCCAGATATTCTATCATCCCTGGTGGGATTCGAACCCACGACCTTTGGATTAGAAGTCAAACGCGCTATCGACTGCACTACAGGGACACAGCATTCGAGTGCAGACAGTACAGAAAGTGAGAATTATATATTCATTGTATGAATAAAATGGTACATTTAAAAAAGTAACAACATTCCCAGATATTCGATCATCCCTGGTGTGATTCGAATTCACGACCTTTGGATTAGAAGTCCAACGCGCTATCTACGGCGCTACAGGGACACAGCGTTCGAGTGAAGTCAGAGCAGAAAGTAAGCAATATATCTTCATTGTTTGAATTAAATGGTACATTTAAAAGGAACAACATTCCCAGATATTCTATCATCCCCGGTGGGATTTGAACCCACGACCTTTGGTCTAGAAGTCCAATGCGCTATCCACTGCGCTACACGACACAGCTTTCGAGTGCAGTCAGTACAGAAAGTGAGCAATATATCTTCATTGCTTGAATAAAATGGTACGTTTAAAAGGAAATTTTTTTCCAGATAAATTCGATTATTCCTAGCGGGATCCAAATCCACGACCTTTGTATGTCTAATGCTCTATCCGCTGCTTTACACGGACACGGCTGTCGCTTCTAGTAGTTAAATAAAGTGAGCAGTATATATATATATATATCTTCCTCGTTCTAATAAATAAGTATTTTTAAAAATATGTCAGTGACAGATCCATGGGGCGATTCAAACCCACCGCTTTTGGATTAGAAGTCCAACGCGCCATGCACTGCGCTACACGGACACAATAATCGAGTGAAGTCGGTACAAAAATTGAGCAATACATCTTTCTTTTTGTAATAAAATGGAACATTTAAAAGAAAAGATATTCTCAGATATGCGGTTATTCTTGATGGGATTCGTTCCCATGAACGCTTGATTGGAAGTCCAATTCGCTATCCATTGCGCTACGGAGACCATGTGCTGGTCTGCAGTCGGTGCATAAAATGCCAAATATATATTGTCCTTATTCTAATTAAATAGTACATTTAAATGAAATAGCTGCCTCACACACAGATATTCGACCTCTGGATTAGAAGTACAAAGCGCTATCCATTACGAACAGTTACACTAACTCGAGTGCAGTCGGTACATAAATTGAGCAATATATATCTTCCTTTATCTAACAAAATAGTACATTTAAAGGAAGTAACTATCTCAGCCTTATTTTATTATTATTTTTTAACATTTATAAACCCCGTGCACCACCGAACGCATAACATGGGGGTAAACAACACAGACAGAAAAAAGGATTACAACACAAACATCCATGCCTTCTCCGGGATTCGAACCCAGTCCCTGCGGCACCGCAGTCAGCCTCACTGACCACTATACCGGATGGGCGGCATCTCAGCCTTATTGTAACTCGAACAAACGACCTTTGGATTAAAAGTACAACGTGCTATCCATTGCGATACAAGGACCCAACTCTGTTGTGCAGTCGGTACATACATAAAGTGTGCAATAAATCTTCTTTGCTCTAATAAAATAGTACATTGAAAAGAAAAAATTTTTTTAGACATTCGACCATCCATGTTGGATTAAAAGTTCAATGCGCTACAGGGACTCACCGAATTTTTTCTTCTTCTATGAATGCTGTTGTTACTATGGTCTCATTTTTTAATTTAATTAACGAATTAATACTTGAAAAAACAGTATTAACATTAAGTGTATTCAACTGCACGTTTAAAAAATGTATTTGAAATTGAGTGGAGGAATAAAAAGTATTTTATTGACGATTGAAAATCTTAACAAGATATCTATTTATATATAAAGGAGAAAAGCGACTCACTCACTCTGACTGACTAATCAGGATATCTACGGAACTATTAAACCTACAGACTTGAAATTTGGTAGACATGTTTTTTTTCATGGAGTAGAGATTCGTATAAGCATGGATTTATCGAAATTCGAACCTTAAGATGCATTATGGGGGTTAAGGGGCTTAACAAATATTTCCATTTTTAAACTACTCGACGTACAATCTTGAAATTGGGTAAGCAGATTCCTTTTATTGAGTAGAGATCAGCTACAAAATGATTTTGGCTAATGTTGACCGCCAAGGGGTGTTGCGGGGGCTTAGAGGGCGTTATATAAAATTTTTCCAATTTTTAAGCTATTAGACGCACAGTCTTTAAATTTGATAAATAGATTCCATTCATAGAGTAAAGATCAGTTACAAGGTGGGTTTTGTGAAAATAGCCCCACAAGTGGCGTTGCGGGGGATTAAAGGGTTTAATAGAAAAATATTTCCGTTTTTAAACTACTTGACCTACCTGCTAGAAAATTGGTAGGCATGTTTCTTTCATAGCGTAAATATCCGCTACAAAATAGGTTTTGGGAAAATTGACCCCCAAGGGGTGTTGCGGCGGGAGGGGGTTAAGGGGAGATATAAATAATCAGGCCGATTTTTAAACTATTAGACGCACAGTCTTGAAATTTTGTAAGCAGATTCCTCTCATAGAGTAGAGATACGCTACAAAATGGGTTTCGTGAAAATCGACCCCCAAGTGGTGTTGCTGGGTTTAAGGAGCATTATAGATAATTATTTCCATTTTTAAACTACTGGAAGTACAGTTTTGAAATAGATAAGCAGAATCTTTTCATGGATTAGAGATCCGCTATATAATGTGTTCTGTGAAAATCAACCCTGGTGGCGTTGTGGGGGCTCAAGGGGCGTTATAGATAATTTTTTTCATTTTTATTTTATTAGACGCACAGTCTTGGAATTTGGTTAATAGATTCCTTTCATAGAGTAGAGATTCGCTACAAAATTACTTTTGTGCAAACAGACCCCTAAGTGGCCTTGTGGGGGCTCAAGGGATGACATAAATAATTATTCCCATTTTTAAACTATGAGACGTACAATTTGACGTACAATTGAAATTTGGTAAGCAGATTCCTTTCAAAGAGTAGAGATCCCTTACAAAATAGGTTTCGTGAAAATCAACCCCCAAGATTCATTTCGGGGATTAAGGGGCGTAATAGAGAAGGATTTCCGTTTTTAAACTATTATATCTACCTGCTTGCCAATTGGTAGGCATGTTCCTTTTATGGAACAGAGTTCTTACAAAGATTAAAACGAAAATCGACTCCTAAGGAGGGTTGCGAGGGGTCAAGGGGAATTATAGAAAAAAATTCCTGTTCTGGAATTATTAGATCCACATACTTGAAATTGGTTAAGTATGTTTCTTTTGTTGAATAGGGATTTACTAAGAACGTATTTTACGGAAATCAACTCCTGGGGGAGCAGGGGGTTACTGGAGCGTATTGACACACAAAAAATTCCCTTTTTCGAACTACAAGGACCATAATAATGGAATTTGGTTTGCATTTTCCTTTTGTTAAGTTGAAATCCTCTAAGAACAGTTATATTAGAGAATGACTCTCAACGGAATTACGGAGGGTATTGATAGTAAAAACTTCGTTTTTACTCTATTAGATATAAGCTTGCAGTTTAACTTGCATGTTCATTTTACGGAGTAGAGATCCCCCAAAAATTGGTTTTTCGGAAATGCACTTGGTTATAGGGTTACGAAAAAGTAAACATTATTCTATACTTTAATTTTAGAGATTTTTAGAAATTGCAAATTAGAAGTCCGGTCCTTTTTTATATCAAGAGTCGAGATTTACAGGTATAATTATATTTTCCAATATAATCGTATTCTTATTTCTAGGGCTTAGGTATCAATAATTTATATATATTTAAACAGTATATATTCATAAAACATCATTAAATACACAGCGAAGCGGGTGGGTAACATATATATATAGGGGAGACCGGGGCAAGATGACTAATGTCTTAATTTTTCCGTGTTCCACTAGGTAGCAGCATCAAATGAACACTACTGGCTCTCCTTTTGGCCTTTCGTTAAACTATAGTATAGACACGCTGAAATCGCCCTTTTTGTGTTAGTTGTGAAGCTTTGATTGTTTTTTGATGCCACGATATAACTTTTATGCATGTGTAAATAAGCTCTGCTACAGATACAGGTAAGATATAACGTTTCTCTTTAATATTTATGTGTAACTTGGTTTAAATACTACCTATTACCAAGAATAAATGTCAAATAATTGCCTTCCTTCATGGTAATGAGAGCGAATATTTTTAAACAGACAGTCTGGGGCAAGATGACGATCCGAAACACGGGGCAAGATGACGAGCTCGTCATCTCGCCCCGTGTTTCGGAATTTATTAAACATACTATTGTTGTCCATTCTATTAAATCCTGTGAACACTTGTTTGTCTGTGTGTATGTCCGAGTGACCTTGCAGGTTTCATTCGAAAGGGGGTGACCAGAGGAAGATATTTTAGCCATCCGCTAAGCCCCCCCTAAAGAGAAAGTATTGTAACAATAATTTGTTGCTTTAGAGCTACTGGCTTTTATCTGCCTTCTTTTTTGATTTTTTGCGCGAAAACGAATGCTTCCTGAACTTGTAGAAAGAGCCCCACCAGGAACTGTAGGCAACTGTAGTGATAAGGGCTGGAACAGTGAGGGCACCTTTCTCTCTTTTTTGAAGCACTTTTATCTTCATGTGAAACCAAGCAAAGAATCTCTTAATCTGTTGATTTTTGACAATCACAAAACTCATATAACTTTGCAGGCTATCTTATATTTTCTGAGCAAAAAACATCATCATGGTTGGGTTGCCGTCGTACACATCTCATCGTCTCCAGCCCCTTGTTGTGTCATTTTTTGACCAGTTAAAAACTCGCTATAGTCAAGCATGTGACAACTTTATAGTCACTCATCCAGAACAAACTATCACAGACAAAAATATTGGTGAGGTTTGAGCATCACTTACTTCAAATCAGCTGCAGTTGGAAATGCCGTTGAAAGGTTTAAAGAATATGGGACCGAGCCTCATAATCCCCTTGTGTTTAATGAACATGACTATGCTGCGGTAAAAACTACTAACCATGCTGCTGTTGACGATGAAACTGAGAATAATAGTGCTAATCCTCAGTCCCCGGTAATAGAAAACCAACATATAAACCCTCCAGAAAAAGCAAAACTTATGCAAATGCTGATTCCGATGCACCAAAGAAGCCCATTAGTGATTTTTATTTCAAACCATTGCCTAAAACAACATAATGTGAGAAAACAAGAAAAAGCAAAAAATTCAGCTCTAGCATTCTTACAAGCACACCCACCAAAAAAATGTTAGAACAAAGGGAAAAGCGGAAGGAAAAACAGGAAATTTAAAAAAAAAAACAGACAAAAAAAGCTTGTGAAGCTAAAACGGGAGTAAAAAAACTCAAACTGTTCCTGTAGGTCTAAATCTAAATTATCCAGGCCAAACATTCCAGTTGTATCAACTTCAAAGGACGGTGTTATAAGATGTCCTGCTTGTGAAGAGGAACCCTCCAACAGAATAATTGATCCAGTGCTGTAAATGCCAAGAGTGTTGGCATGAGGAATGTTCCAATTACAAAAATTTCATTTTTATTTGTGACTATTGTTAGGTACACAACTAAACACTTCAACATTACGTTACAATGCATTACGCTTAATTTGATACTTTGTAAGATGTAAAAACACAGTTATCATTTGTTAAACCATGTAACACATTCAAAAGATAAAATAGGCTCAACCTTTTTCAGTGTTGCCATCTTGCCCCAAGGCAAAAGTCATCTTGCCCCAGTAGTGGGGCAAGATGACGATTTGTTAAGGTTATGAAATAATAAAATAATCTTTAACTTCTTTTATTGGAAAAATTAAATGGTAATATGTATTTTAATAC